TATTGAGATCAGAAAGTGTCTTTACTGATGAACAAAGATTATAGATCTCTATAAACTATCAATTTTACCTTTATTGGAATTAAAGGTATACTATTTCTTCACATCTCAATTCTCTATTTCACCAAGGAAACGAAATATTATGCAAAGCATGAAAGCAATTCCAAGCAATCATATTTCATAATCCCAGAAAATAACTCTTTCTTCTTTTCATCCTCATCTTTTCAGAGGAGTCTTTGGTAAACCAAACCATTTCAATATCTGCAACTTCCTCTCAATTTCTATTTTATGATTAAATGCAACTTCTCAATCACCTCTTCATTCTACCTGATGAAGAGTTCTCATAACTGAAATTAATATAATAATTCTGAAATTTTTCACACTGCTGACTACCATTCTTTTTTTGTATTAATGTTTAAGGTTAATAATACTTTATCCATTATTTTTATTATTCTTAAATAGTCAATTAAATTCAGACTAATAATGTCATATTCAAGACTATGATTATCATCAGTTTAGCAGAATCTCAGTAGATAGGTATACTTTGATAATAGTAATAGCTATACTCTTTGTAATGGATTCTCCCAAGGGCAGCAAATGTGAAATTCATGACTTCCTTGGACTTCATGCACTTAGATGTTATTCATAAATGGCTCTGTAACAGCTTGTGGAGTTATGTGGAATAGATTACCACAAGACTCAGTCCAGGGCCTTGTGACAGTCAACATTTTATGAATCACTCAAAGAGTCCCTCTTCTTCAGTAACCTGATTCTTTACCAGGAACTATTTCTAGTTATCCTGCTTATGCCACTGAAGACTACCAAGTAGCAAAACACCCCAGTGGTTTACTTTCTGAAAATATTAACATACAGAACAACTTTCCAAAGTACTTAAATGTACTAATTTCAATACACAGCAGACGGTCACATTGCCTTCCCAATTCAAATCCTCCAGTGACCTTGCTCCAAAGTATACAATCCAATTACCATCCACATGTTCAGTCAAACATTGTTTATGTCATTTTTTTATATTCAGATCAAGCCAAATGTGAATGTATTTCCAGCACATAATCCCCCTCCAACTGAAACAGGCAGAAAAATGTTTAACTTTATCTATCTATCTATCTATCTATCTATCCACTTATTTAAACATTTATCTGACTCTGGGCAGTTTACAAATATTAGTTAAATGAGAAAGAAGTGTTCTAATTGTTTAGAACAAAATATTGATAATTCATGGCTCAAATTTCTATTGCATTAAGACTATACAATAGGTAGGAGCAATCTACTGAGGATATCCCACCAGTCACAGGAAGAAGTGACAGGCATTAGGTAGGGGAATCAATTTTTGCATACTTTGGCATTATAGCTGCAGAACGGATCTTCCTATTTTACTTTGTTCCCAATTCTGTTTTAATGTGCCAATTCTGAATAATGTTGGCATATCAGATTCTGTGATCTGTCAAGGTCAGATGCACAGATGCCAAAGAATTCTCTTACTGATAAATAAATATCTCTGAACCCATCACAATGGGAGAAAGAGATCTAGCATTTGACATGAGGCTTGCTATATTATACAATGCCTAGAGTTTGTATTGGTGGTGGTGGTTTTTATTTATTTTTATTAAAGGGTACTCTCATAGAAACCTGACAAATTCCATGATAGAAGTCTTTAAAAAAAACGCTGGCAAATATCTGTGTCTGCTAACACTTCTCATATTTGTGCACTCTGCTTCTTCACCTCTATGCTCCAAAAATTTTCAGCCTCACTTCCCTTAGCCTCCTATCTACACAATTTTCAATTTTCATTTCTGCAGGGCAGATATGTGGCTGGGAGTCCTGAGAAAAGAAGAAAACGTGACAGAGAAACTCAAAATAAGCCCACCTTGATTTTGTTTAGTATAGGTTGGGACACATAGAAATGTGAACAGGCTTTCAAGATGCTGTTATTTTACCTTATTATAGTAATAAAAAAATTACGTGGAATCTCTGCTGCATCTGCTTGACCTGGCCTTTTTCACAGGCCATATACTTGCCAAAAGACTCAGATTGTAGAATGAAATCCGAAAAGGATTTAATCCCTTGCATATAGGTTGTATATAGGTTGAGTTTAACAGCAAATAGTCACCTCTTCCATAATTAGAATCACACAAAAATTGTAAAGGGTATTTACAGAGCCATTAGTAAGTCACTTAATTTTGGTCAATTACCAGATAGGACCTGTGGTTTAACAGGGCCGCCTCAGAAAGTTTTGCTGGAGTTAGTGCTTCAGCCTCTCTTGTTTTATGCTCAACCATCTAGAAATTTGTCTCATTTCTTTACACATGAAGATTATATCAGGAAGCAAAAAAGCACCTATGAAGAAGGAAAGCCTTAAAACAACTGATTTTAGAATATATGTATCTAGCACTGGGAGTATCCCTCTTCTTGTGACTGACTGAATTTCTCTCTCTTTTCCATTTAGTGTAGTCTTAAGGAATGTTTTGTGTAAGCCTGCTTCATACCTTACTGTGAGAACAACCATGAAATCATATAACAGTGATCCAAATTTTCCAAGGGATGATGATGATGATGATGATGATGATGATGATGATGATAGAAAATACTTTCCACTCCACATTGTTCATCATTAAATTTGACTTAATCAAACTGGGGATTGGATTTTTACATACTGTTATGCACAAACACATATGTACACCCACCTTCCTTCAGGTTTGTAACATTAGTCACAATAAAACTAACAGGATCAGTAAATGAATTAGCAGGTGTGTAGGCAGCTAGTCTAGCCTACAAAACAAAATTAGGAATAAGCTAACAAAGTAGCTTCCAGGTATGTGATAACAGTCTTATTGCTACAAAAATAGCTAAGCCTTCCATTGTACTTTCCTTATTTCACACTGCAAAAAAGTTGTTATTTCCTTATTTTAAATAAACACAGATAACAGTTTACATTTCACCCAGAAACATTCTGGCACAATTGTACAATTGCAACATTCAACACAAATGCAGGCATCAAAGAGATAAGCGTAAAAAAAAACAACCTTCTGAAAGGATAGCTTAGATTTTAAATTTAGTCTTTGGCACTGAAACGTATCCTTAAAAATAGTGCAATTTAATAGAGTACAACTGAAACCAAGAAAGTTCTTTATATTTTATGCACTCTAAATACTAGCACGGGTATTTGAAATAGAAGGAATAGGTGGTTAAACACTAAGCATTATGGGAAAGAATACCAAGAGCAATTTGCATTTCAATTGTTCCTTTTGTGTGACCAGCAAAGAAGTGGTCCTAAAGCATTTTGCAAAGTGGTAAATGTCCTAGTCACCCAAGAGAAATTAGAGTACACCATTTCAGCAGCCCTTCCCCTCCTGCATCTGGACAGAGCACCCACTAAAGGCACAGCAAAACATGTGAATGTGAATATCAATTAATCTCTACTGGCCATTAAACCTAACCTGATAGGAATGAGGCCATTTCATTTCTCCACGTCCACTCCAAGAGCAGCCAACTGGGACTTTGCAGAAAGTGCCTTTTCAAGTTGCAGCTAAACAACTTGAAAGTAAACAACAACTATACATTTTCCCCACCATAGCCTTGGGTCTCTGTTCTACACATTCCTCATTTGCTCATGAACACTATGTCTCCATCGCCTTGTTACATCACAATTAAACCCAAATCTTGGCACTAACCTTTTCTAAAAAATTCTATTTGTGTGTATAACACTGTGTATTACTGGTACAGAGCATTGCACACCAGAACAACTGGACACAAGGACAGTTTTCCCCCTGCCATCACTCCTAAACAACTAATTCCCGCCACACTGTCAAACTATTTACTAAGATTGTATTACTGTTATTTTTCTCATCCTTTCTATTACCTACTTCCTTTTCTACTTATAACTATAACTTTGTTGCTTGTATCTTTATGATTTAAATTGTTTAGTTAGCTTCCTAATATGATTTATGTTGATTGCTTATCATATGACTATCACTAAGTGTTGTATCTTATGATTCATGATGAATGTATTTATGATGACTATGATCATGATTTATCATTTATATCTTTTATGTACACTGGGAAATTATGCACCAAAGACAAATTCCTTGTGTGTCCAATCACACTTGGCCAATAAAGAATTCAATTCAATTCAATTCAATTCAATTCAATTCTATTCAATTCTATTCTATTCTATTCTATTCTATTCTATTCTATTCTATTCTATTCTATTTCTATTCTACTCTACTCTACTCTACTCTACTCTAAACTCTCATGGTTCTTTTTCCCTCCTCCTCCCTTTTCCTTTCGTTAGAAGAATTTTCCTCCACCCCTTCCTTTCCTGTTCCATGTAGGCAGTTTTTTGTGGGGAACTCAGCTAGGCATTTCTATGTTTCTTTATAAACCCAGTGTACACTTGGTGGAGCCCTAAGAACAAAGCAGGTTTATCAATGCCATCTCCTGCTCACAAAGGGCCTTCCTTTTCCACGAATGCTAGCTAATCAGCATTCCTCCGTCTTTAAGAAAACCTGTGTTCCTGCCTCTGCATGCACTTTACCCAAACTCTCACATACATAGCAAGAGCAGCCTCACAACTATCCTCCAGGGGTCACACTTGGGTTACGTATTGTAGACCACCGGAACGTTGAAGCAGCCTGCTTCAGAACCATTCATTCACTTCCTTCTTCATTAAGATTCAAATGGAATAAGCCGTGCAGAAATTGAACAGATACAGAAAATGTGCTCCTGTAGTCAGTAAACATTTATTCACCAAGCAGAGATCTCTTCTTCTCTAGCCTCTCTCACATTGTCTCTGTTTTCTCTATCCATACTGCTTGCTGTTTTAATGCATAATTAAGAAGGTCAGAATTAATGAAGCAGTGTGGAGTAAAGTTCATGGAATCCCCAGGCACTATTTATTCTATTAGATCTCAGGCGTGAATGTCAAGATTGGCAGAGGTAGTGAGGCTGGCAGCATCCCAGAAGCAAAACTATCAAGGGAGACATACCTTCAGTGTCAAGTCATTCCTGAGCTCCTTGCCTGCAAAAATCACACGTAACTGGTCAGCTGGAACTCCCTGTCGCTTAGCAACCGCCTCCTTGAGCTGGAAGATGCTGGTATCTGAATCAACCTCCATTGGGAAACCATGGCTGGAGTTGAACCTGACAAACACTGACCAAGAACAAGACATTGGTGGGGGTTTTGTTAGGAAAAAAAAAAGCTGAGTGTTTTGAAATCTGATGCATCTGGGAATGACAAAAACAGACGGTGATTTCTGAAACATGGACAACAGCACAATGGTACTGTAAAACTTTGTTTTATCATTTTAGAAGGAAGAAGTGGCATATTACAGTTTTATGATTTGGAAAGGCAATTCCAAATAAGAATCCCTAACATGTTATTGTCTTAACTAAATTAAACATGCTTTATGGTCCAAAGAGGATCTTAAATTACATTTCCTTGAGGAATGAATGAACAGCCAGATTTTAAACTGCAATCTGAGGACTAATAATAACTAATTTCCTTCTATCCTAAATGCTCTCAGGAGACCAGAGTACATATACTGTAATGGAAATGATGTGTACATGTCTGCTCACATGCATACACACACACACACACACACACACACACACACACACAGAGAGAGAGAGAGAGAGAGAGAGAGTGAGTGTGTTAACTTACTGAAGTAGGCTTGCTAGAATATATTGGAAAGAAAACTTTAAAAAATACAGATGTCAGTTCATACACACTGGCCTCCCAGAGATCCAACTGTCTAGAAAATAATAATGGAGTGAAAATTATATGCTGCCTGTAGCATGAAAGTCTTTTCTGGTCTTTCTTAGAATTCTTAAAACAAGTACCGAAAGTAACTCCTATTAGTATAGTTGTGTGCTGTTAAAAACAATTGTCGAACACATTGCAGTAGTACTTGGTCAAGATGTACATTAATGCCTGTTATAAAAAATATTTCACATGTTTACAAGAGAGGTTTTTTTCATAAATAAGCAATAATATAACTTATCCAAAAATGTAGATGTCATTGATAAGAGTTTTGGCAGAATATAACAGTTCTATTTTATGTGTTTTATGTGCTTGTGGTATGTCCATGTTGACTCCTGGCAACTACCTGGAAAAGTCCTTGCAGTTTTCTTTACAAGATTTCAAAGGTGCCCTTGCCTCCTCCCTAGGGTTGAGGGAGAGGAATTGGCTCAAGGTAACTCAGCTGGCTTTGTGCCTAATGTAGGGCTATAAATTATGGTCTCTCTGTTTTTAGACCAGTGCCTTAACCACCACACCAGACTACCTCTCTTCTACATTATTTAGCTCTTATTTAACGATTGACAGATGATATATGTTGAATTGAAAGTGCTTCTAAAACTGAAACTCTCAATCAATATACTAGGATGTCTTCAAGGGAGGGGTTTGTGGGGGGCATAAGGATAGCTCTGAAGGACAGAAGAAGAGTTGGTACTAAAGCAATGGTGAGGGGAGTGGTGCTGGAGTCTGGACCAAGAAAATAACTTGAGGATAACTTTATAATTAAATAAAAAATAATTCAGACAAAGATAGAAGGAGAGAGGGGAAAATCACATTCAGACAATCGTAGCTGTTCCAATAAAAGTACAGTAAAGTTTTCCTTTACTGAGGACTAGGATCACCTCAGACAGTGATTATTTGTAGTTAAAATGATACAATGAAGAAGTAACTTTGCCATCAGTCCTTACATTTATGACAGGTCTAGAAAGCAAAGGAAAGTTGAAATAAGATCATAAACACACTCATGGTTTCACTTAGAAATTGTTTCATTTAAGAACCAAGTTGCTGGTCCCAGTTGTAGTCACTAAATGATGGTTGCCTATAATTCTGATCTACATGTCTTTGGTCTCTTAGTCTGGTCTAACTTTTAGAGCTGACAGTTTATGGTTAACCCATACGCTGCCCAGAGCACCTTTTTGAAGGTGATGAGTGGTTAAGAAGTTTGATAGAGATGGATGGATGGATGGATAGATGGATGCATAGAAGATAGACAGACAGACAGACAGACAGACAGACAGATAGCAGTGGTGGGATTCAAACTTTTTTATTACCGGTTCTGTGGGTGTGGCTTGGTGGGCATGGCAGGGGAAGAATACTGTAAAATCTCCAGTCACAGGTGGTATTTGCCAGTTCTCCGAACTACTCAAAATTTCTATTACTGGTTCTCCAGAACTGATCAGAACCTGCTGAATACCACCTCTGATAGATATAAATAGAAAGATAGACAGATAATCTCAACAATATAATCAATGCTTCCCCCTTTAATTTATGTTGAAAGGATGGGCCTTTTATTGTGCAGTTGTACCTGCCATATTTTTTGATACCTTTTCAATATAAAAAATCCAATATAAATCCCATAGAACTGAATAAGGTAGATGTTGCTCATAATTTCTACCATAATTTCTATAAAAAATAAATGAATAAATGAATGAACAAACAAACAAACAAATAAGTAAATAAATAAATAAATGGGATTTGTGGGTTCCTGCTTGCCTAGGCCTGATATAAACAATTGAACAGAGCCATTTCTTATAGGTCAGCTGAAACTGACATTGTTGCTAAAGGTTAGTAAGAAATGTTTTCTCCTTGACTTCAGTTCAAAGACAGTTCCTAGAGCATAGCCGAAGATTTCCCACATTTCAAAGATAGCTGCCCCTTGTGAATTTTCTTAGTTTGACCTGCCACAGTCTTCCCTGTGGCAATAATTAAAAAAAAATGTACCCACATCTTTATCTGTTATAAGCTTCACACTGAAAGAACATGAATCCCTTAAGGAGAAAATTCTTAAGAAGTGATTTAGATGCTAAGTCCACCGCTCCATAAAACAGCCCAAAGCCCTTTTTGCCATGTTACATTATTTGACATGGCCTGCTTATTGAAAACCTTATACAAATATTGCTACAAAATATGCTATACAGAGAGCCACACATTCAAAGGGGGAAAATGCCCTTCACATTTAAAATCATCACATGCCAGTAGTTCTTGTTTAACAACCTATTTAGTCATAGTTCATAGTTACTACAGCACCAACAAAATGGATTTATGACCAGTCCTCAAAGTTGTGGCCCTCACAGTTTCCTCCACAGTCATGTGATCGTGATGCAGACACTTAGAAACTGTCATGCATTTAAGACATTCAGAGCATCCTGGGATCACATAATTGTCATCTGTGATCTTCCCAATTGGCTTCCAACAAGCAAAGCCAATGGAGAAGCCACAAAAGGTCTCAAGTTATAGTCATATGATATTTTACTTAATAATCATGCCTGATTTGCTTAACAACCAAAATCAACCAGTAAGGGCGTTGGTACTTACCTGATACGCCCGTTCTCTGTGAGCTGTGAAGAGCATCCAGAAGTGGGAGGTGCTTCAGTCTCTTCTGGAAAGGCTGGGCTTAAAACTCCGGGAGGCTCCTCCTCCTCCACGGGACACCTCAGCGTCCCCCAGTTTTGCGAAGACTGAGTGCCAAAGTCTGGGACTCATCACCTAATCTAGATCCCTGACCGGAATGGAACCCCACCAGATGGAAAGAAATGGGTGGGGCTGGATGCTCTTCACAGCTCACAGAGAACGGGCGTATCAGGTAAGTACCAACGCCCTTTCTCCCTTTGAGATGTTCAGAGCATCCGGAAATGGGACATACCAAAGCTTGGCCTGTCCTTAGGGAGGGACACCGTCTGGATCGAAATCCACTCCTATAGTCTGTGGACCCTCTGCAGGACTCTTCTGCCAAATGAAGCATCCGCTGAGGTGTAGACATCAATTTTATAATTTCTGACAAAGGGCAATGGTGAAGCTCAAGTCGCCGCTCTGCAGATTTCATCTATGGAAGCCCGAGTGGCCCATGCTGCTGCTGTTGCCGCACTCCTTGTCGAGTGGGCTGTAGTACCCTTAGGAACTAAGATGGACTGGCATTTGTAACTTTTAGCTATGGTGGCTCTCAACCATCTATCAATGGTCATCAACGACATCCTGTGTCCTCAAGTGGATGGGTTGAAGGATAGGAATAGAGCTTCGGATTTTCGAAATGCCGCCGTGCGGTCTAGATAGAGGCTTAACGCCCTTCAAACGTCAAGTCGATGCCATTGATGCTCCAGTGTATGAGATGGTTTTGGACAAAAATTTGGAAGCACCAACTCCTGCCCTCTGTGGAAGGCTGAATTTACTTTAGGGATGAACAATGGATCCAATCTGAGAACCACTCTGTCCGCATGAAACACGCACAGGTCCTTTCTCATCGACAATGCTGCCAACTCGGAAATCCTCCTTGCTGATGTGATTGCAATTAAGAAGACCACCTTATATGTCAGGAATTTGAGACTAGCGGTTCTTAAAGGCTCGAACGGGCCTTTAACACCTTGTTGAGCTCCCAAGTGGGATAGCAGTTAATTACAGGAGGTCATAAGTTTGCAGCACCCTTAAGAAAGCTGCGTATATGTGGATGGTGCGCTATGGAACAAAGGTCACCCCAGGATATCACCGAGGCTAAGGCCGCCACCTGTCTGCGTAAGATATTTGGTCAACCCCTCCTATAAAAAGTCCAATAATTGTCCTATGGATGGGCAGCTGGGTCGATCTTAGGCCCCCGGCACCAGCAACAGAAAGCAGACCATGTGGCCTCATATATACGATTTGTAGAGGACCGTCTGGATGCTTGTATGGTGGCAATGGCATCCTCTGAAATCTGTTGGGTCCTTAAATGGTTCCGCTCAACCTCCATATGGCTAGGCTGAGCCATTGTGGGTCCAGGTGAAGTACCGGCCCTTGCGAGAGGGAAACCCTCGACAGTGGAATTTTCCAAGGTTGTTCTCTCGACAGGTCCTGTAAGTCCGCGAACCACATTCGCCTGGGCCAGTAAGGGGCAACCAATATCAGTTCCGCTCGTTCCTCCAATAACTTCTCGATCAACCTGGGTATTACAGGGAGTGGAGGAAACGCATATAGAAGTCCGGGAGGCCACTGACATCTCAGAGCATTGACAGCCTCCGCCACCTGAGTCGGGTACCTTGAAATATACCGGGGGAATTGGGTGTTGAGAGGAGAGGCAAATAGATCGATCACCGGTTGCCCAAACCTCCGCACTGCTTCCTGGAAGACAGATGGATGAAGGTGCCACTCTGCCTGATCTATCATGG